ATACTGTGATAATTATTGACAGCGTAAAGATCTAAGCAAGGAGGTCGTATTTTTCCTTTTTTAAACGATATCATAGTTGGCGAGGCATTTAACATTTTTTTTTAACTAAGTACTAAAGTTTTTATTTAGCTGAGTTGTCAAACAAGATACTGACACTTGTTAGTCCTTAGTAGTCCTTCAATTTCTCCAGGCACTTCTTAGACAGATCAGGATCCTGCCTTTTCCAGTCCTGTCTAGTCGTTTTTTTAACCTCCTCCTTTTATTTTATGGTATAGGGCGCAAACCGGATGATGTGACACCTTATGATGATGATGATGATAAAGTAGGTTAAAGATGCTAACACCTAATTAAGCTATTAATAAAATTAAACTTTGTTTGGACTCTCAGTCGGCTTTGTAGAGTTTTCAACATATACTGAAGAAACCAGAACATCTTACTTATGTTTCATAACAGAACTTGGTTTTAAGTATATAAAAAAACTATATATCTGTGTACATTGGTCCCATTCAATATAAGAATTGACAGATCTGACATTTTCCAGTGTGTAGAGTGTCTGTCATCACAAATGTCAATCACTCATAGTCTATTACAAAACGCGATGATGGGGCAAATTAAGAATCAATTTTTTATCACCTTCAGTCAAGACATGTAAACATATTAATAGTAAATACAAAAATAGGTGATATTTTACCGGTCATCTTTATTTATAGAGTACTTAACGAGTAATTCGTATATGGTCAATTGGCTTCGTAATCACTTAAAGGCAGAGGTTAGAGGAGTCGGTACCTATTCAGGCAACAGAAAGTTCGAGTTTCAGTTAAGCGAACCTAACCACCTTTAGCTATTACTTCTACTCCCCAAGCGTAAGAGTTCTGGCCAGCGCAGACCGAGAGGAGCGCAGTGAAGAGGATTTTCTTAAGATACATGTTTAAAGTGCATACATGTTTGAACATAACATATGCACTTTATAACAATAGTTTTAAAGTATAAACTTTACAGCTCTGTCTTCCAATCTTAATAACTTTTCATTCATTCATAATGATGATAATTCCTCTGGAGTTAATTAATAAAAAATACTACAAATATTATGAATACAATCAGTTAATAGATAACTTTCATTTATTAAATGCCATGAATAAGAAAAAAGTACTTTTAAAATTATTTTACTCTCTCGTCTCGTGTTGGACTTTCAAAACCTTTTATAAAATCATGGATGTATTTTTATCTTTTCTTTACTTGTTTTTTATAAAAAATTATTAAGATCAAAAGCGTGTAATGAAATAACGCAATAAGCCTCTAATGTGCCTTTACCTTATGGTAAAAAAAATATCAAACCCGAAAAAACACAACTTAAAAATGCATACATTTTGGTAACACGATACGAGTTCTTGGATGTTACATTCACACGGACCTATAATAAAAATCGATATTTGTTAAATTGCAAATTTTATATTGGAAACGTATAAAATACCGTACTTAAGACAGAGATACTGTCACAACATTGTTCGGTTGTCATTATATATAATGTTTTAGATGACATTACGGGGAATACTTGCAAATTGAATTCGGCACCAGCTGGGTTAAGTGTTAGGGTCAATGCAATTATGTTTATTTTGTTATCATACAAACCGGGTGGTTATACCTTCTTGGTTCGTAAACTTTAAAATGTTTTTAAAGCTCATCGTTCGAGAGTTCTAATCGACGTCGAGTGACACTTAGACGTTGTTAAGTGCTAAACTTATAGTAACATTAGTTTCAACTAAGCTCATGCTATTTACTTAAAGGCAATCAACTCAGACAGGACATCCACAACCTGTTATAATGAACCCAAATGATTGTAAAAAGCCCCATAAATGCAAAATCAAATTAAAAGCTCATTTTATTATGCAATAAACTATATGCATTTTGACAATACTCCAATCGTCATTCGCCGTCTAAATAACTCATGGAATCAAAATATGTTCATATACATCACTGTGAGTGCCAATAAATTTTGTCAGGACATAAAAGGCTTAATTTAGTGCATACAGACCTAAAAATTATTCCTTCTTTATACAATAATTCTCCTATCCTACATCTTTTAAAATTCCCGCAGCCATGAAAACGTTTTGTTTAACCACAGACCTTTATAAGCACAGATTATAATTTAATACTAGCCGCTGGACAGAGACATACAACAAAATAGATGATAACACGGAACATCAAAGCAAGTACGTAGCCAAGTTGCCAAATATCTAAACATAGTTCAATGTACATACATTTAAAATTATGTCTGGATAAAATCAGGGTGGCTAGCCACAGCAGTGAAAAAGTAGAAACTGCACAAAAAACACAAATTACCGATTACGCTTACCTATTGCAAAAACATGAAACAAAGAATATGTGCAATTAGACACAGTAGAAACATGCAAGTCTATCGCAGACAAAATACTCATTAGACATGCATCTTTTTTATACTGTAACCCATTTGACGTGAGAGCTTCGCATAAAATTTTATAGCCTTTTTTATTTTACGGATTCAATGACAGGAGTGATTAGAAATAACGATTTCCGCACTCAAAATTTTCTGCCGCAGGACTGGCGTTTGTTGAAGCAAAAGAACTCCTTACAAATATATCTTAAAATTCTGTAAATCTAAGTTTTAACAGTATTTTTTCGCTAAAATACGGGTGTTCTCTCCTCCAACTGAGAAAGCCATATTTGTACTGATTAAGAGTGCTTGTGAAAAGTCTCTTGGAATGGACTCTTGGAGTTCGGTTAGCTAAAATACAGCTTTGTGATCTTTGATATTGAATACCCTGTATTTTAGACGTATACCACACATACTTCTTAAAAGCAGTTCTTTAAAGAAAAGGAGTCACTTTGATTTTACGATCGGATGGCCGCCACTCAAAAGTCTAAAGACTGCATTCTTATTTTAATTTTTACCTTTAATTTTCAGGCTTAAATGCTATGCGCAATCATTTAAAACAGCGTTTTTTTTTTGTTGTTTATAAATCTATTTTAGGCTTAGTTTGTTACAAAAACCTTCGCAACAAGTAAGTATTCGAAAGACGCCGCTTTTTTCCCACACTTTAATAAAATTTAATTTTTATGAATATAAATTGCATCAAGAACTTCCGAACTATCGTGACAAGGCATTTCTTGGTTTTAAGACCGATTTGTTACGTCACGCACTTGATAGATAAACTTACGCTTCGTCGAACACTTGATGCGACTACCGATTTCAAGATTGAAAATCCCGTTATAAGGACAAGAGGAAAGATTATTTATTACGGTACTTGATATTGTTTCTTCAATTAATAGCTCTTTATCTTAATAATTATACTTTAAAAAAAAATCAAAAGAATTTTTAAAGTTTATTTTTGAAGAGGCTTTTTTAGGATCCGTTGTTAAAATTAATTGCTTAGTTAGCGTATTGTGTAAACTAAAATAAAACTGCAAATTATCGAACAGCTTAAAGTTTTAGAGGGGGTTTATACAAAAATCGTTAAAGCACGCCCTATGAGCTACTAAAACAAAAGGAGAGACCTCTTTATTAGACTTTCTGTGTAAGTATTTTACGTGATCGCTTCCCTTAGTTACGAATGAAAAGCAATCTTCAGTGCTGATATGATTTTGATCCGATTCAAACTATAAAACTACAGTTAACACGGGCCAGTACATAGAAAACATAGATCAGGCAGCCATAGGTCTTGTTATAACGGTCGTCTAACACAGAGGTACTGTCCAGTAAATGAGATTTTAGATCGATTACTGATTTTGTCCACCTACGACAAAGAAACGAGTGACCTTGATGACGAATGACCAAAAAAAGAGGATGCTCTCAATTCGGCTGTATTTTTTCTTGTGTGTATTACGCTGATATTCATAGACTATGTACATTTTGTGTGTTAACGTTTAAATGTTATAGTGCAATTGCCTGCGGGATGTCTTGGTCTTTCTTAAGAAGCACGATCTAACGTAAAAGTTTTGTGTAGAACTACCATCAGTAAGATTAACAAAAAGAAACTAACGCGATTGCCATTTCTTCATAATCTTTTCATAATCTATATAAATCAAAATGAATCGCCAAATGTGTTGATGAGCGCAATACTCGAGAACGGATCGACCAATATGGCTATTGTTTTTCTTATTTTCGTTTAGGGAGGGAGGTTTTTATGTAGAAAAAAAAACATATAAATTGCGAGTAAAATAGTAAAAACAACATTTTGTTCTTTTCCTACCAAAAAGTAATGACAACACAACAACAAATTTATGACAGCTAAGGGTAGCTGTCAAAAATTTGACGTCAAACAAAACACAACACAGGCGCGTTCGTTAGTATTATCTTTGGTATGCGTTCAAGTTGATTAGGCTGTGTGGATATTAATCTACGCCTGCCTAAAATAAAGTTCGAAGAATAGAGATCACTCTGCAATCTAGCCCCTGAACCAATTTTTCATGGTGTTTTCAAGGTTAAAAAACTACATATTTTCATGGACGAAAAGGTAACAAGAATAGACACAACGCAATATATTCGGCTACAATATATGCTTCCATAACCACATAAATTTTATGTCTGGCTAATTTCCGCCTATTACCGCTAACTTCTTACCGGCTTAAAAGCAACTTAGTGTCACTGTATATACATAGGGTTGACAATTTATAATAGACTTATAATTGTATGTTATTATTTTATTACGGTACGTATTATTTTGGTTGTTATCAAATTTATATTATACTTAATACTAATCTTTATATTACACGCTAAGTTTCATTAAATGCTTATAGTATTCAACATTAAGTAAAAAAGATTTTACACATAAAACACTGATCGGAGCCTGTTGCTGGCCAATACTGTACCTCCAGGTATTCGGTTCCTAATCCAATCAGGGATAGATTATATATGCTTTTTTGAGATGCTCACCGGATTGGTATATCATAAGCCTATTAAGTTGAAAAACCCCAAAACCAAAACATCTCAAATATACAAGTCAGTTAAAAATTTATCAACTTACCACAGCACTTTGACTCTGAGCGTTGAATCTATAGACTGGGAGATACGCCGGCGACGACCTCGGATTTTGTGCAGCTCCCAAACTGGCTTTGCTCCCATCTGCACAAGTAGCTGCCGGGCCTCGAACTTCCTCGATTCTAGCCCCAAGTAGTTCATTTTGAAGGAGGCAGTTATATGCATGTTGGTCACGGCCTCCACTGCTATTGTCGCCTCCGCCATCGCCCCTGGCTTTCTTGGTCGGTTGATTTTCTGTGCCTCTGTGTATAGCTGAAAAATAAAACTTTATTAGAGGATATCGCATCATTTAGTTAATTATAATGAAAAGAACTACAGTCTGCATAGCAAGGAGTATATTATGGAGTTCTAAAAATATATTTAGGAAGATTATTCCTTGTATGACAACATTTCAATAACAATATTGCAATATTGTAACAAAACAGGTAATTACACATATTTATAACAAATGTGTATTCAAAACAAAATTTAAATGAAGTTACGATGGAATTAAGGTAAAGGATATTGAAATGTGTTTTCAAATAACTTTCAAACCACTTTACCGACTTCAATAAAAGGTTCTCAGTTCGAGGATTTATGGGTTGGCTCGACTGGACCGGAGTCATCAACATCATTATCATCATCAACAGCATTTAATAGTCCACTGCTGGACATAGGCCTCTCCTTAGAAAGGATGTTTTGGCCTACTATACCACGCTGGCTTACCACGGAGTAAGTGAGATTACTGAAGGCGTTGCCATTGTATTATTGCAACTTTTACTTGACCTGAGCACGTGGTTTGAAAAGGACGTTGAGTGATTGAGAAGAATGGAATAAAGAAGAAATAATATAATTTGCGTTGAAATAAGTTGATGAGACATAGCTACTGTATCCAAAATTACATTAGCAAATAGAATAAATACAAGAATTATTACAAATACTCCATATTATTTTGTATCAATGCAATTACTTAACTTACTAATTTCAACCAATTGACAATTAAGGATGTAGCTACATAAGTTATCGTCGGACCTCTACATCCTGGTACGAGCGCCAATTACTACAGAAATAGTAACTCCAATTTGCAGTCATAAAACTTTACTAGAGGTAGAGTTTATTTTGAAAACAAACATATTAAATATATACATAATTAACTTTTAAAAATGTATTACTGACTTAAATATGATCACATCAATTGTAATGAAATGTATTTTTCACTCCTCAATTTTTTATCCTTAGGGGTAATACTATTTCTTCAAATTTCAATGGAACCAAACGGGAAGCATACCTACCCTAGCAAAGCAAAAATTTTATTTTTCAAATCAGTTCATAAATAACAGAGTTCTGCAGTAACAAATATAAAAGCAATAAAACCGAATTAAAATCCTCCTACTTTAAAAAAATGCATTTAATAATAATAAATACTTTTTAAAAATAAGTTGAACCGACTTGAAACAATAGTAACAAAGAGCACTAAAAATCTAGCTGCAATCGCGGTTAATTTGCTGTCATTTTTTTAAGGATTCCGTTGTCTGTTTCCGAAACTCATCATCAGATCTATTTGAAATTTAAATGGGACCATTTCGGAATAAACGCCTTCGGAATAAAATAATTTTGAAAAGCCGTCTATATATGACTTAATACGAACATACAGAGCCCGAACATACATTGAAAACCATCCGAATTGATAAACTCCTCCTTTTTGAAGTCAGTTAAAAGGACATAAAATCAACCTAGAAAACACGACTGAAAAAAAGAAATTTGATGAAATAAATAAAAAAAAGGGATCTTAGAAATAATTATAAAATCGCACTAGTTCGCTGTCAGGTCAGAGCCATGTGTTTAGTGAGCCAGTCGGCACGTGCCACGTGAGTCACGCACAGAAAAAAAATATCACCTTATAATTTGACAATATTTCACAAAGAACAACATCACGCACGATTAATTGTTACGATGAGTTGTTTTTTTTTGTGATTTATTAAGCATAAATCGAATAAACTTTTTGCTACTAACTTGTAAACTAATGTTTCATTATTAAATTAATTTCTTTGCTTAGTAAATTTTATATTTCGATATTGTCTGCAAAATAATTTAAGCAAACTTTAGAAAAACTTGTACATGTCAAAGGTGAAGTTATCATAAGAATGTAACGCAAAAAAAACATGTAATTAACTTTTATACTCGAAGCTTAAAAAATACTATTATTAATTTTACTCTTAGTAACAACTTAATGCTTATAACTCTTTTATATCATATTTTACTTGTATTAAATATAATTCTTGGGTCAAATACTTCACCTTGAAATATTTACCAGAACACATGGTGGAGAAGAGTGATGGTCAATTTAGCAACAACCTGGGAGATATCTCCAAAAATATATTTCACCCATTGCTAAGAAGTATTCATGAGTGATTCAGAGGATAAATATACTTATATATTGCATTTAAGGATGATTCATGGTCCTTAGAAGCACTTTGGATTATCTTACTGGTAAGATTTGCATTATACGCCTTAGAAATTAAACATTAAGATGTCTAGATGGTTTAATTAACATAAATTATGTAACTTTAGGATGCAACCAATACTATCTAGACCTATTAGCTTAAATATTTATTAGTCTATTGCAAAAAATGTCACATAAATAGAATATTTAAACGTCTGTCTTTTAAAATCAATATCTGATAAAGTGGTGTGAGAAAATGCATAAATATTTATTTTACAAATAAAAAACACCAATTTAAAAAAGAAACAAGTTAAAATGTAGATATAGAATTTAATCAGTTTGTGAAGCTCATCATTCGTACCTTTGGTATGTTATGTTAGTCGTGAATATCATTACAATAGAATACAATTCAAAATCAATGAAAGGTCATTAGCGATCAACACACTTGTGGTCGATGCACTTCCCCAATAACAGGCGGGTCGGAAGCACGTCTCCAAAATTGCATTACAATCGTAGTGTACTGAATAAAAACATCGATTGTTCCCTAGTGCCTAACGCACGCTCGGGTTCAATCACACCTCTTCCTTCCTGAGCCCGCACCATACAAGGTGGGGGACTTTATACATGCAACTATATTTGGTCACCTACGTGACAGACCATCAGCGCAGACGTAATTAATTCAGAACACCGCCAAATTCGTCAACATCCTTTTCAAATGCGAAACCGTGCTGAATTCTACATGATATAGAGTCTATTTTACCGATGTGAGAATACACTTAATTGACTGAGCGTAACAGTCTTTGGCAAGGCCTCCACCTACGTGGTGTCTACCCACATCCAATTCTCCTGGACACAGAGAATAGTCACAATTGGCCCCAATATCTGATCGCTAACCCACTCAATAAAACTGTTGTAGTAAATAATATGTTCAAGTAAATTGTTGGGAATGTTCGTGGAGTGCCCTGATAAAGATAAAGTCGTCCACCGTCGTGCCAGGCAAAGAATAAAAGGTTGATAACGAAAAGTCACGGTTTGAAGAAAATTCAATAACTGTGAAATAGTACCAGATACTGGTTATCTTTAGAAATTCACTGAAAGTGTGTCACTAAGTATAGAATGTGTGTTATCAGCAACTAGTAGCAGGTGAAAAAATTGTGACCGAAAACCTTTACAAAGAATACTTATCTATTGGTGCGTAAAAGTTTTATGTTTTAGAAGTTTTAAATACTACGAGTATACAGATCTATTACTTTTTAATGTTTTGTTTTCTAAGTTTTTAAATGCTAAGTGTACACGTTGTTTAGTTCTGTTATTTTAATGTATGTGTTTTATATCATCAAACATTTTCCGTACCAAACTCATTATATTCCTAGACTACAGAAAAAACATATTTGGTTAACAAATGATGGTGATTCGTTCCACGTCGGGCATACATAGGCCGTAACTAACAACTAATAAAATTACTACTTTTGCAGTCGACTAGTAGCAAGTACGATTATAACGTGGCCTAGATTTCACGATAGAATGCCTGTATGTACTAGGTATCGGAGACCGAGTTAGAATCTTATATTACTAGGCTTGCCATACACAATGCATGTCACACGTGGTCAAACTCAAATCGCCTTATATTTATTAAAGGAAAATAAAGCAAATGTCGTCCTAATAGGGCTTAAAATTATTTAGCAAGTTTTATTTGCATATAGTAATATGATAACAGCTAAAATAGTAGAAAGACTTAAGACAGAAGAGAGAAAATCGCGTGAGACAGACAAAAATTTAGTCAATTACATTTAGAAGAACAAACATTAGTTTATACATCACAGTACGTTAATTTTATGTCAGTAATCTAGAAAATGACCGGTTTAACTAATTTTAAAATATTTTATTCGGAGAAGGTGTATAGGCAAAGATTTCTTTACATTGCCTAACGTATTCAGATTCCTTTGGAAGTCATCCAAGAACTATCTATGGTAAATATGTTAATCATGGTTAGAGCCTTTGTCAGCATATTTACATGTAAAACATTTACAGCGAAAATCACAGATGGAATCACGTTATCACAATAACAGAAACAACTTTCAAACTTTTGCGTTCCATAGTAAATCTATACTTATTAGATCGATAATTTACGCGATCAACAGGTATTACATACTTTGGAATTGCCTCACGATTCCACCAGGTTTACATACTTTGGAATTGCCTCACGATTCCACCAGGTTGCACTGGCCGTAATTAAAGGCGGACTGTCATCACTTGACTGATAATAAGCACAACACTTAGTCACTTAAGTCACATCAACAATAGTTGAAGTATACATTATAACATATCATAATCATACTAGAAACCTTCAATTATTATTAAAATAATAATAGAAAGGACGATGTGGACAAGAAACATCGCAAAAAAATCCACAAAACTAAGTTACTAAACATTGGAACATATGAAGAACTTTTTTAAAGTCTAGAGATCTGTCAGTGCAAGACTCCGAGTCTCTTATAAGGGTTATAATAAATACATTTATATACCTATTTAAACCAACATTGTCACATCACCTTTGTAAAGAAACATTTATTTATTATTATTAAAGTCGGTTAAAATGATAAACAACCAACTACCTAGTGTTGTTTCTAGTAAATGTTTAAGTGTTTGCGTCATTCCATTGCGTAACCAACAATTCTTACTTAAATACAAATACTAACCGATAAGTCGCACCTTTAATAATAAACTGAATTAATTCAAAATTTACGTTTTTCGAGTTTTCAACAAATACCAAATCAACTTCATCAGTAGAACACGAACAATCCAACAGCCGACTCGATACCATGAAAAT